GAAACATGTTGACCCACTTCTTACAGCCAACATGTTTTTCATTCTTTGATTTACTGTCTTGGCCTTTGAATCGACAGTGGCGATGGCTGGTTTACTGTGTAACTGGATTGTAAGTGTTGTACATGGATTGCACAACAGACCTCTTTCAAAACGTGTATAGCATGAAGTCGCTGCCCCACGAGTCCAGGCACCTCCGCCTGAGAAAGTGTTTGGACGGCTCTGGGGCTCGGGTGGAGGTAAGTAAGTAAGTAAGTAAATTTTATTTATATAGCACCTTTCACAGACAAGGTCACAAAGTGCTTTACAAAGTCAAAGATAAAAAGAGATAAATAATATACATAAACCTAAAAGTACTCACATAGCACAACACAATTTATAAAATGAATAAACCCAATCAATTAAAAAACTGTCTAAATAAATGTGACTTCAGCTGTTTTTTAAAATCATCAATAGATTCAGTCATACGTAGAGTCAAGGGTAGGGCATTCCACAGTCTTGGAGCTACGACCTGAAAAGACAGGTCCCCCCGAGATTTAAAACGGGTTATGGGGACCAGACTGGAAACCAATGGAGCGAATACAAGACTGGAGTGATATGAGCTGTTCTAGAGGTTCCTGTCAGGAGCCTCGCAGCTGCATTCTGGACAATCTGAAGACGATTTAAACTGGACTTATTACAACAGGTAAAAAGAGAGTCAGCAGTAATCAATGCGTGAAGAAACAAAAGCATGAATAATCATCTCAAGATCTCCCTTAGATAAAATCTTCCTTAATTTAGATATATTTCTCAAATGAAAGAAGCAATTCCTGACTAACTGTCTTATGTGACAGTCAAAGGACATTGCCTGGTCCAACACAACACCAAGGCTTCGAAGGCTCAACTGGACAGAAGAGCCCAACAAGCCAAGGTGTTGTTTAATTCCGGCAATCTTAGTATCAGGTGCCACAATAAGTGTCTCAGTCTTGTTAGAATTTATGCAAAGATAATTATTGTTGAGCCAGATCTTAATGGACGACAAGCACTTTAATAATATTGCTAATAGGTGAAACTCTGAATCATTAAAAGAACAATAAATTTGAAGATCATCTGCATAAAGATGATAAGTGCCAAAGCTGCGATGAATGCACCAACAGAAACTCTAGCATTTGGGTCACACGCGCCTCTTACATGATCTCTGTGTTTTGGTGGGAGGGAGGTGCAGGTGGGGCTGCAGCAGGCTGGTATGCTGAGCAGAGTTTTCTGTTCTTCCTTCTCAGTTCCTCTCCAGTCCTGATATCTAGTGCGCGGGGGGGTTTGTGGCCCGACATGAAGGAAGCCCTTGGAGCGAAAGACACGGGCGGCTCTTTGTTTGTACAACCTACAGCGTTGTCGTCCCCCCACGGCTCCATCATTCACACCGTGTCCTCGCTTACTCTGCCTCAGACTGTGTCACTCTGGGTGTCGTACACCTGGTTTTTCTTTCTCTCTCTGTCTCTGGTGTCTTATACCCTGGGGTGGGGATCCTGCTGGACTGCAGGTGTAGGTGGTGAGAAGTAGTCAGAGCTCTGTTTCTAGGACGTCCTGGGACGTCCTACATCCTTGGTTGTCTAGAACGGCTTCCGGGTCAACAGAGGACATGCAACCCCAAATCAGAAAGAGTTGGGAGGGTGTGTAAAATCAAAATTAAAACTGAACTTAGTGATACGATATGAATCGGTCCTGCCCCATGTGAAGTGACAGTATTGAAGGTGAGGACTTGAATCTGAATCTCTGATTATGGACTAACTGGACATGGTTTCTAAGAACACGTCTTAACGAAGTCTCACAACAGCAGCTTTCTAAGGATACTCACGGAAACCCTTTGACCTCATTTTTCCTGCTCCTCTGTCATGTCTTTACCTCGTCTGATCAGTCACCCCTCCCTCTGCTCCAGCCTCGTAACATGGTGGAGCTGTGTGCTGAGCCTCGAGCTGTGAAAGGTTAGGTAAGCAGAAAATGTTGTAGACTGGTTTTGAATACTTTTCCAGGAACACACACTTAAAAGACAGAATGATGTAGGTTTATCAGACCTGTAGTAAGAACTTCACAGTGTCTGCCAGCGAGCTGTGGGGACTGTGCATGATAGGCACCGGTCATGTCAGCAGCAGGTGGCGAAACTGTGTGCACGTAATGAGGTGCTCCTGGGGTCCCCCTGCATCCTCCTCTTTTGCTTTCATCCTCCTCTCACCCGCCGCCACCCTCCTCCCCTCGCTGCTCCACTAACCCTTTTCCCCAAGCAGGAACCAGGCAATTCGAGAGCTCCGTTTCTGCTCTGTTTGCCAGGATCTCTGCTGCCAGAGACAAACAAAAGTTAACCTTCCTCAAACCCAGCCATCAGCACAATCCCTCTCTTCCCCCTTCCCGCGAACACTGACCTACTTTCCTCCTGACCTGTTTATGCAGGCTTCTGTGTAGCAGCCATTCAAGTCAAATCAGGAAAACGAAGGACGCAGCAGAAACACTGCCGGAGCTTCGCTGCTTCTTGCAGGGAGCATCACCTTGGTTTGACCCCACGGGTGTTAAGTAGGGTTATCGGCAATTCCATGTTTACTGACAACTCCCCAAAAGCCAAAATCCTACGGGCACCGCAGCCTGCTGTTTATTTGTGTGTGAAGGAATGTGCATCAGTGTGTGTGTGTGTGAGTGAGGGCATTGTGAAGGGCATAGATGCATCAGCCTCAAAGAGCAGCTTTGTTTGCAGGCTTAGATCAAGTTATTGCACTGGCGTAACCTCCCTTCCCTCCCATGTTGCCCCCGCCCCTCACCCAAATTGCTCCTCCCTTTGCCCTTTGTGTTATGAACATGACCCAGTTTTGGTTTAATAGTCAGCTCTTCCTTGGTGTCCCTCCTATTTAAGAGACGCTGTGTGTGTGCATGCTGTAGCCTTCTCCCGTGTTATGTTGCATTGTTGCCATTGTGAAACATGTACTGTAATTAACTTGTGTACATTTTGCATGTTAACCTGTTGTCTGCAAGCTCCAGGCTATTCATATACACCCTACTTACTGTCCCTACAGTACCAGGTAGTCTGAGTCTGGAACGTGGACTGGGTGGCCCAGCAGCCTTTTCTGTGCTAAGACAAAGAACGCAGTGTGACTTGCAGCAGTCGGAGGCTCAGACAGGTTCTGCCTCAGCTGCACATCACACAGCGTGTCAAACGTATTGAGACGTCAAACATGAGGGGAGGGGGGTGTTAATAGCTGGTGGACAACAGTGGAGGTCTGCGGCCCAGAGTGTTAAGCTGAACAACAAAGCTGGACTCAGTGGCCTTTCCCTGGAAGTACAGGACCTGAATAAGCTTAGTTGCTTTCTACCACTGAAAGAAAGAACATAACAGATTAAAGCCTTAATGCTGTTTGTTAGATTTGGCTGCTGAGTCACTTCTTATGTCAGTCAGTGAGTAATGTGTTGCGTAACTGCTTCTGGCACGAGGTTTATAGTTCATCGGCACACTGATATGAAGACGAGCCAGGCTACCTACAGGCTGATTCGCTGTGTCGACAGCCGCCGCCGCTGAAAACCAAGGGCGGCTCAAAATGGCTGCCCAGTCCAGGGTCAATGTGTGGGCTGGGAAGCTGTACCACACAAACGCTGGTGAAAGAACGGAGGAAAACAGACTTTCATAATACATTGATAGTCAACAGTGCTTTTATTCAGTTTCTCGACCTTGAAATGTTCCTATCTTCCACAATGAGCATTAGTGTCTTTACATACAGATTCATGTCAAAAGGAAGCGAAGGCGATGACCAAACCAACCACCACCTGTCTCTAAACACCACGCTATCTTTGCCTGTTTCTTTTTTGTCCTCATCTTTTTATAAAACCCATCAGAAAAACTACAAACATTACTAATTAATATACACGGGGGGGGGCAACTACATGTCATCACAGTCAACAGGAGGAAGGACACAGAATCAAGGAAACCAGAACAACACCTTGACAAAAATAGGATATAAAACCAATGAAATAAACATTACAGTGTTGTTCAAGGGTGTGTGTGTGTGTGTGTGTGTGTGTGGGGGGGGACTTTACATTTATACAAAAGCACCAAGAAGCCAAACGTGGTACATAGACCTTTGTTAAACTAGGATCCAGTGCAGGGAACTCGTCGCTGCCATGAGACAGACATGAATAACTGCTGAGGTCACTAATGGAGGCACATGGGGGACGGACAAAGACTTTTCCTCATTAATTTAGGCTCAGATTGTCCTTGTGTGTGGGGAGTGTGAACAGTGTCTCCAACCTGATGCTGTATTTTTGTTTCACAGTAACTCTGGGATCTGATACTAAACCTCATTTCCGTCAGTAACTCTTCTTGGGTCTCTGCTCAAGTCCAAACGAAATCAACTGTAGTGTGTTTGCATGAACGTGACACTTCATTCCTCCTGCGTTTCTCTCCAAGCATCACATGCCTGCGTTACAGTTCAAACTCAAGGCTGCAAAGTGTATCTGGAAAGTCTGCACAGTCCCGTCTATGTTCCTGGGGGCTCTTCTACTGATGACTGTGTGGAGAGCAGGGAAATAAATACATCGGGCCAGTGAGCGGTGACAGCAACAACAAGGTATGGTCGAAAATAAGCTCAAATAAAAGGCTAAAGGCTTTTAGCCTGCAGCTGGTGAATTTCACCAAGGATTTAAAGGCTGGTTAAAGGTTAAGAAATCCAAACAGGTTAAAGGAAACAGCATGATGTCCATTCAGTGCTGGCGCTCCAAACTGGACGGCCATGGCTGTGTAAACAGGGCACTAACAAGTGATTAATGCTAAAGCTTTACAATCAAGAGAGAGGCTTTTTACTTCGAATTGGTCCTGTAGCAACAGTAGACAATGTGGCTGTACAGTAATTTAGATTCATATCAGGATGGCCACGCGCAAAACCCTCTTCTACCGTCGCTTTTTGTTGAATTTGTATTCAAATTTCTTTGTAAAATATATATAGTATATATATATATATATATATATATATATGTATATGTATATAATAGATACATATATCACAGTAATATACAAACCAAGTGCTTAAAAAATAAAGGTGATGTGATCTTCTGTGAATGAATGGTTGGGGAGAGTGTGGCTGGTAGAGGTAGGGTCTGGGAGGAGGTATGGAACTTCATATTTGTAGTGTTGGTGCTTCTTTGGTTGACTGGGGTCGACTGTCCCCAGGTTGGTTTGATTCATTTTTTTAATGGGTATGTTTGTCTGATTTGTAGAACTGATCAAGCTCAGCACCTTTAGTGTGCTGACATTCTGGTTTGTATGAGATCATCAGTGCCTTTGCTGATGTCTCTGCTGTAAAACATCGGACGACCAAAGTAGAGAAGCAGACAGTTCCATTCCTCCTCTCATCACATAAACAAAAGTGCTTCCATGAGTATGGAGAGGATGTAAGTAATGACAACTCTGTACAATATATACACTTATGATACAGCCCTACAACATGTCCAGCCTCGTTGGTGACGTGGGGTAGAAAAGCCCGGCCTCCTGTCCTCAGGGCACGAGGAGGGGATGTGATTATAGGGCAAAGGCATGGTGGCAGGGTAGTTCTTGTGTCAGTTGTGACAAGTTTCTTAAAGTGAATGTCACCTAATCTCGCCTCTTGTTTCGTAGTGCCCCCGTCTCCTTCCTTTCCCCCTCAGTTGGGCTCTGGTGTGTTCTGTGGTGGAGTGAGGGAGAGGTAGGGATGCTGGGGTAGGGGAGGCGGTGTGGCAGAGGGAGGGGTGGTTGGGGACTCCTGCCCAGAGCAGCTGCCGCCGGTGCTCCCGGTGCTCATGGCCCGGTGTTTGAGTCTGAGTTTGTGGGGCAGCGCCGTGCCCTTCACCTCCCCCTGGGGACCCCGGCCTTGGGTCTGTGTGCAGCCGTGGGAGGAGGGCACAGGTGAGGCAGGCTGGTGGAGGCCGCTAAGATGCTGGCTGTGGTAGCTGCCCATATCTGAGCAGGAGGAGGACGGGGACTCGTCATCATCTGTGGAGGCCTCTTTGTCAGAGCTGCGGGGATCTCCATCGCTGGATGACGTGTCCTTGCTACAGCAGCTTGACTGGCCTTGGTCGTAAGCCTCACTCCTGGGCCCACCCTCATAGGTAAGCATAGGTGGCTCCTCGTCCTGGCCGCTGAGGTATGACTGATGAAGCTGCTGGAGGAAGATGTGGTTGACCCCGGGCTCTGCAGACAGATCGTTCTCCTGCTGTTCGTGCTGCAGGCGCTGCTGGGGAAGTTGGCACACTCTGTACACCTGTCCATCTCCAGCCTCAGCGTGACTGTCTGAGAGCTCGTATGGAGGGGAGTCCAGCGTCTTCCTCTCCAGCTGTTTCGTCACCTCAGCCAGTGTCTCTGTGGAGCTCTCACTAATGGACTGAGGCAGCTGCGTTGCGCGCCCCCCCCGCCGCTCTGCTTCTGGGCTGCCTGCAGATCAGTATCCTGGGGATTCGGCAGTGTGTCCACAGGGTAGGACGCGCTGCTGGAGCCATACAGGATGACGCTTCTTTGGGCAGCAGGCAGGTGCGGGGCAGGCTGGCTGACAACATTCACTGCGGGAACAGGCTCCTGGTGGGGTTTTTGTTGGTGCTGCTGCTGGCTGTGATACGCAGCCTCCGGTTCCTGAGAATGCTGCTGGATCTGGTGGTGAGTGGGTAGAGAGGCCAGACCATGGTGGATCTTAAACATGATCTGGGTGGTGGTGCCACTGGCAATGTCCATCTCCAGCCTGTCACCCTCCTGTTTGATTTCAAACGGGATTGGCTCGGGGCTGTCCCTCGAGGAGCCGTCAGACATGTCGGAGAGGGAGCCACGAGGGGAGTATTTCACCAGCTGCCTGTGGCTCTCACCGCGCCCTGACTGCTCTGTTTCTGAGGAGTCTGAGTTCATTATCACCTGAGAACCGTTTGAGTAACCGCTGGAGTAGTAGTGAGTAGAGGAGGATGAGGACGAGCCTCCATTTCCTGCGCCACTGCTTCCACCGATTTGCTGGCTCTTTTCAATGTATGAAGCAGTGCTTATCAGGCCAAAGCGTAACTTGAGCTGGAGCAGCTCGGTCTTGAGCCTCACATTCTCGTCATTCAGTGCAATGACACGGTTCTCCAAAACCATATCATTGAGACGTCGCTTCTCCCGGGAGCGCTTGGCAGCCTCGTTGTTCTTGCGACGTTTCTCCCAGTAGGAGGCGTCCTTCTTCTCGTCAGAAATGAACTCGCGCTTTCGCCTGCAGCTCATGTTGGGTTTCGGTTTGATGAGGCGCCCCATGCGAGCAGCAGTCCCCTGGATAGACGAAAGAGACTCCTCATAACCGCTAAAGGTCTCAAGGCAGTTTAGGTTATTCCCTGAGTTTTTTAATGTTTTGAGAGCTGACGTCAGATTTTCCATTCTTGCCTAGTGGCAGCCAGTTTGAAATGTTGTTTGGGCGACTGGGGAGACCACCAGGTCAGAGGTGAAGGGGAGGAAGGGGTGTTGGTGAAACCCCTTTGAAAGTTTTCTTCTGAAGCTCTTGGTCTGTTTATTGCAGGACTCAAGTGTCCAAATTAACCAAAAGATAAAGAAGATAGAGAGCAACTGGAGTTCAGCATTAGCAACCCTCATTTACCCACTTGAAGGATTTTTGGTTCAGTGTCCAGACTCTTCAAAGTTTCAACATCCCTGAATGGACCGGACCAGTGTGGTGAGAGCACAGCTGTCCTTAAAGTTGAAACAGTGAGTAAAATTCCTTGTTACCCCTCCTGCTTTTCCGCTGTTGGCTGGTAAAGATGTGGCTCAGCTGGCAGAGAAGTGTCCTATAGCTCCACACGAGCAGCAGGATGTAGGTCGGCCGTCTACCTCAGTGTGTCAGCCTCTTGGGGAGCTCTCCCTCCTTCTGTCTGGCTCTGTCACCTCAGCCAGATGAAAGGCTGCAAGGACAAAAACAGAACAAAGACATATGTAAATCCAGGTGCACAGCTTGTCCCAGACCTGCAGTTTGTTCTTTTACGGCAGTTTTTGTCTTTTCTACCGGTGTTGATTTCCTTTCCGCGTGCACACTGATCACCGACACGTTTCTACATCTGTGCAGCTTTTCTCCGCTCGTTTGACATGTGTGGCTTTTACTGAGTGTGTCGCCCGTGGCAACCAATCAATGGTCACTACACCTCACTGTCTGACCTTTTGGCCTCGCTATTGATCTGCTCCGTCTGCAGCCCGTAACCCCAGACCATTAGCCTGGCGTGTTGTTTACTTTTATGATGTAACATGGGTCAGACCGAGGCTCATGACTCGGTTTCATCTCGACAGCCAGGACTTGAAAAGGCTTCCAAATAATGTTTTAAACATGAAGATAACTGAGCTCACTGAAAGCAAAAATAAACAGATGGGGATTAGACATGGTGTACGGTATGGCGGCCAGAGGGCTTTAGCAGCAACGAATCAGAGGTTTGTGGGCCTCCCAGAAACTGAACGACAACATCAACCTTTCTAATGCTACTATAAATGATAAAAGAAACGCATGAAGTCTAGAAGTGGTCTGTGTGTTGGACTGCTGTAACTGACTGGGACCCGTGATTCCCCTTCAGTTCAGCCTCTCTCATCTCACCAGCAGAGATTTATTTGTCCATGTAGTGACAAAGGAATTGTGAAATAAGTTGGTTATGAAACAACAAACAGGTCTAAAGTTCTTACCACGTTGTGAAAACAGTGTAATTCCAACAAGTGCGCACATGAAATGAAAGCGATTGCATCAGTGTGACACATACTGAGAGCACTGAGCTCGACTGTGTGAGGATTAGTTCCTTTGGTGCCAGACAGAGCAAAGGCTGAGTCAGCTGCAGGGCTGGTGCTGCTCCCTGGCTTTGTCTGACACCCCCTCCATGAAAGAATAGCACACTGCACTCCAGCTGAGAAGCCCCATCTACAAGCACTGCGTTCATCCCTGTGCGTTCATCCGCTGAGGAATGTCGGAGCATTCTTCGCCAAAACTAGTCGATGCCAAATCAGTGCTGCAGAGTGAGCAGATAAGGAGGACAAAGGCAGTGCAGGCCCAGGATAAAGAGTCTGAGTCTGGTGCGAGATGTGGAGGTGGGGCACCAGTAAATATAGGTCAAGGGCCCCTGGAAAGAAAGAAGGTGGGAGGCGGGACACAGGCAGGAATAACACAGTCAGTTAACATTTATGTAAAACACAAGGCACAGTCTCATTGGAGATGGATGTCTCAGAGCTGAGAAGCAGCAGGGGGCTCTCTGGAATAAACCGCACAGGTGTGTTTTCAGCCAAAAGCTGGTGCTGCAGCAGGACGCCAATAAGTGAAACGTTAAAGGAAGACTTTTAACTGGTCAAGTCTGACACTGTAAGGTGGACATATTGACTTTTCCCTCTCACATCTGTGGTTGTGGTTGAACTGTCTCGACCACTATTGGACGGACTGCTGTGAAAACTTGGTATGAAACACCCACACAACGACTGGCGTTCCCATCAGCTGTACTTTAGCACTAAGCAGCACATCCTAGCATGCTAACATGCATGTAGCCTCTTTTGAAAATGTGGACCGTACCAACAGTCTGGACTAAGTTACATGTGATAACAGCAAGACGGCTGTTTTTAAAGTTACACAGATGTGAATAAACGTGACGCATGTTTGTGATTCTTCTTGTTAATATCACAGGAACACAATGAGGTCACAGGTGCAGTTCTGTGCTTTGTATTTTCAGAAATGTATGACGTCAGCAGAGGAATGGCTGTCTGCACGTCAGTTCTCACAACCCCCCGAGGTCCGATTAGCTGAAGAACGGAAGGTCGGGCACACAGTGACAGGTGGTGGCACGACTATTCACCTGCATGTCCACCGGAGCTACATGGATATTGCACTGTATCCACGATAACGGAGAACCAGCGGCGGTGAATGTCACTCAGCGTGCACCAGCACTATTACACAGTGGGAATCTGGAATCTCAGCCTGATGTCTGTGTGACTGGCTCTGCAGCTTCCGACACCATTAGGCTGCTACGGGCAGATCCTCACAAAGGGTGGATGGAGCTCAGTCCAGGCCCTGCCAAAGTTGTAGCTCTAGGATTCAGACAAAGGCAGAAAAATCAATTTGAACGTCTTTTGATTTCTTTTCAGAAAATCAAATTAATGTGAGTTCATGTTACATTGTATGGAGATAAAGGCGCAGTGTCTGGCTGCTTGTCCTCTGCTTGGCTGGAGGTCTCGGGTTATCCTCGTGAGCCTCTGAAATGTGGCCGTTGGGCACTAGAGAGAAAGAACGCGAGGAAAGGCTCTGTCGAAGCATGTCCCACTGACCCAGAAACTGGGGACCGACCACACTCGGTAAACACAAGTCTGACTTCCTCCGGTGTGCGGCTCACTGGAATATAGCTCAGCTGTGCTGTGTAGAGGTGGAGAGATGGGGAAAAAGACTAAAAGAGAAGTGAGAATAAAAAGCAGAAGGAGGCGTGGAGCTTTAGAGCGCTGTCTAAATACAGACGGAGGTGAGAGCAAGTAGAGCAGAGACAAAGACATGAAGGGAGTCGATGAGAAAGTTCAAACAAAGACAGGGCTGGAGATGAGATTATAGTGTCTCTGGGTGGAGAGGAAGCCAGTGGCAGCTGTTGGTGTTGCATCGGCAGAAGGAATGTGTCAGCCATAGCAACAAAAGGGGGGAAACAGAAGGGGCAACCAATCATATCAGACGTTCTCCCCTCCTCTGAGCCAGTGGCTCGGCATGGCCAGCAGCACCAGGATGAGAAAACGGCGTTCTGCAACAAAAGCACTGACGTCAGCGAGTGCGTACAGTCCACGTGTCTGCTCCAGTCAGGATAAGCAGAACACATGAATGAACTCTAGTGTCTGATGAAGTCGCAGCACCGGCATTGGTCTGTCTTGGCCTCAGTGTTCAGCCATGTGGAGGAGTGGCCCATGAGGTGTGCGCTCCTTCAGCCCGTGGGCCACTTCATTCGCCCCCGCTGGCGTCTAATCTACGACACATTTACATTTCCACAGACGCTCCAAGCCACTGCACCAGGAGCTGTGAATAACTCGCTGCTGCCAAAAGCAGGTTTACTAGTGCAGCCACTGATTTTGTTTATTTTCCACAAACCCCACAAACCTGCCCCCCAGTGCAGCGGTGTGGCTCACTGGGGGGGTTAGTAGCTGGTGGACAACAGTTCACTCTCATTTGCTCAGATGAACAAATGTAACCTGCAGTGTGTTGCAGCTCCCTGTGCACACACTGCCCTGACCTAGATGACTTCCCAGCTTCACATGTCATCACTGGGTCTCTGTGGCACTTGAGGAATGATAGCACAGTCAAAGAATCCAACCACAGGGCCTGCAGGAGGCTAAATGTGGCACCGAGCTGTGGAAACTGGGCTGAGGTCAAAGCCCTGCACATGTTTCTTTGGAGCATTTCAGGAAATGGGAGCAGGTCCAAAATAAAAAGGGAGGGGGGGGGGGGGGGTTAGAGATGGGGGGAA